GCGAGGAGTGTTCTGTGAAGTATTAATGAGAATACATAATGTTAACTCAGCATAAACTTGCTCAGTCACTGCTCTACACCATGCTGTGGAGAGTGTAAATCCACACGAGGTTTACCAAGAAGCAACCATACTTTGACCGTCATGTGAGAAGCTGCAGGGTGATGATGATCTAATGGTAAGTCAAGGTTCCCATGTCTTCCGGTGTCCTCTGTAATGAGGTCCATAAGGGCACTATCATAACTAATTGCTACGAAGGTACTGTGTGCCTTTCTGGAGGGCAATCTGAAATATTAAAATTTAAATTACACATAACTTCGTGGGAAAATATGCCAAATTATGCAGATAAAGAGGTTTACACTATCATTTTTAAATAAGAGAAAAACTGGAAATGACTGATTGATCCCTTATTGATGATCGTTTAGGTTAAGTAATTATGCTAGACCCCTGTAATAGAATACTAGACAGTTGCCTAAAAAGATGGGGGCCTATTTTTAGGATATAACTGGGGGAAAGTAAGCTCCAATTGTGAAAAAAAATATGTAGATGTATATCATATTTCTTGAGGGATTAAAAAGGGAGACCACCCAGGAATTGCCTACATTTTAGCCCAAAATATTAAATCATTATTTCCCCTTATTTTATGATTTTTTCCATAATGAACATGTATAGCCCTTGTTCTAAAAATTTTTACATTAAGATAGTTTCCTATGATTGCATTCTCCAAAGTGACCTTTGATGTTCAGAAGTGAAGTCACTTTAATAAACTCTGTAACCTAGGTGGAAGTATTGCCACGTTCACATCCCTGAGCAAAGAGTGTCTTCTGCCCAAAGTCAAGGAAAACAGATCAAGCTTGCTGATATCCCTAAAATATGTGGGTATTTCATAGAAACTTGAGTTCCAGTAGGAACTGTTGCGGTCTATTTAGGTCTGAATACAATGTTGAGTAGCCATGATTAATTTTCTGTAACCACTTCCTTTGCTTTTATGTTCCAGTCAAAATATAGTTAGCTGTATTCACAGTGGAAAGTTGATTTTTTTCTTACAAAGGAACGTGTTTATCAGTGTTTAAATCTTTCACACTGTCTGTATATTAGAGTTAGCCCCCAAAGTGGATGGAAGGAAAAATGGAGTTTAAGGAGAAATTTTAGAATACAAATCTCTATATATCTGGTGTGTAGAATGTATGGTGGTGGTCTGAAGAGTTGGACAGAACTGGGATTTTAAACGAAAATTGCAACTTGAAGCCTATCCTATCTGAATAGATTAACTTTTTTACATTGGTTTGTAAGAAAGTTTAGACCGCTTCCCAAATGAAAGCAATGGTTCTTTTAATCCCGAATATTTGACCTTTTCCATTAGTATTTTGCTTCCCTAGATGAATCATAATGCAGTATGGCCAACACAAAGCTAAACCTGAATGTCATAAAGATCCCCGAGTGTTTATCTTTAGATATGGGATGTTTATACAGCCTTTCCAAGCTTTGAGCTTCTTCCCATGGTACGAATCTCTGGAATCCTCAAACACTAGTTCGGCTGTTAGATTTTCAGGCCCCATTTAACTTCCATTCCTACTCCTTTCTAGAAAGTTCACAGTATAGTGATGCTTTTAATAGGCTCAGTTGAGAACCAAGAAAAAAAAAACTTGGATTAATTTAAATATTCACTTTAACAGAGCTAATAATCTAGATAGCAGTTATTACGGAGTCCTAGAAATTGGTTGTGTATCTTATAGAACCACTGTACCCAACCAAATAGTTGTTTATGTAGGAAAACAAAATAAACCTAACTACAAAAGCAAATGAATGTAAAGCAATACACATATATTGTAATAAGTTTTAGATAATGGAACTTAACATTTTAAATTTGGCCTACCTTTGTTATTTGTTACACTGTTGCTTTGTTTTTAAGAACTACATGGAAAGCTTTGAGGACTGAAAATTCTGCTGATTGTGTTTGATGAAGACTATATGCTCACTTAGTTGGCTATTCTTAAAAGACCTCCTAGTCCCACAAGATTAGACATGTTTGTTCACTAACATTAAGGATAAAATATTTCTATTTGGTGAGACACTTTGATCTTTGTTTTTTCTCAAGCAGAATTACTTTCTGTGAAATCCTTTCTAAGATAGGCCATTTACATAAAAAATAGGTTAGTCAATTGTAAGAAAATGTTCTCCTGTATTTGATGGACAGTTTAATAGAGCCTAAGACCAGTTAAAAAAGCAAGTGGTCTTGGAAGATAGGGTTCAATAGAACAAGTATTGTCCTGGGAGAGGTTTTCTATCACCCCCACCTTGGCATTTCTGCCAATGAGCTGTGTGAGCCCGGCTAAGGTCATCTCCGTGCTCTTCTGAAAATGGGGGGGTGAGGGAATTCTTTAAATCTCTTGCACTTTGGATTTCTTAAACCTCTTTCATGAAGGAGAGTCAAGATCGGGGAGAAGAGCATGCACAAAAGCTCCAGAGAGATTCCTGCAGCCAGCTCTCTAAGGGTTTGCCTAGTTCTTTCTAGAACTTTTCAGATAATCATTTTATAGCTTTTCCCATTAGAGGGACTATCTTCCACTGACAAATAAATAAATAAATAAATAAATAAAATCTATTTATTTATTTTTCTTTTTTTTTTTCTTTCTTTCTTTCTTTTCTTTTCTTTTTTTTTTACTATGAACGTTCTGTGGGCTATTTCAGAATCTTCCCTGCGAGCAAGTACCAGTACTAAAGATTAGATTTTAATTCTTGGTGCCACGTAGGGAGGACCAGAGGGCTTTGAATGCAGTAAACTTCATCTGTTACCACCTGGAGAATAGAAGATAAAACATGGCCAGCCTTCTATTTCCTAGACTTTGGTGTTTGTCATCAAAGAACCATGGTTGTGCATGGAACGATGTCAATATGGCTATGAAGCAAACACAACCTTTAAAAAAACATAATCCATATGAACAGGAAGAAAACACTGTACTCCAAAATCCTGTACATTCTGATTAATATGTTTAATATAGATTGTGGTAAGCTTGCTTTGCCTAACAAAGCTTGTTCAGTCAGCAGGCTGAGTCAGAGGTGGACTGGTAGGGCAGAAGCAGCCTTCTAGAATGGCCAAAGCATTTAATGAGTAAAGCTAAAGATTATATGTAGTTTCAAGCTATTTCCCAGTAGAGAAAAGCTAGATGCTGATGGATAAGCTGGTGTTAAGAGAAATCATGCTTCGTCTGCTTTATGTTGGAGGGGGGGGGGGGAGGGGGGAGTGGGAATGCTCTCTCAAGGGTTGAGGGCAGGAAACAGAAGAGAACAAACAGGGGACTGTCCTCTAGTAAAGTGTAAGCTGGCACCTCTATTCCTAAAAGCCTTAAAAGCTTATTAAATGGAAAAAGCCTGTGAAAACTTTGGTCACCAAACTTTGTCATTTTTCTGAAGCGTAAGAATCAGGGCTGGCAAAGAACTTTTAGTTAGAAGCATTAAGTGAATGAAAAAAGTTCTACTCAGGCTTGTTTGGGGGGATTGGTGGTAAGAAGAGACGAATAGGTAGGTATGTGTGTGTGGGGATTTGCATGCAGGAGAGTTTGATTAGTTTGTTGAATGGCTAAGGATTACTGAGGAACCTAAAAATCATAGCTGTATTTACATAAATTTTGCATAAATCTTATATGTAAATATATAAGCCTTTATATTTATATATAAAAATGTTTTTCACATGTGTTCTTTAAGGTTTTTTGCTTAGCCACTTAATGCAACCGCTTTCTCTATGCAAAGCCTAATTGAATGCAAAGCAAGGAACTCCTTCACTTTGGCTCAGTGAACTCTGCCTGGGAAGTGTAGCTGTTGCCTGCGAGGCCATGACCTTGGTTTGGGAGTGGCACACCCTAATTTATAGCCCAGGGGCTTGGAAAACATCAACAACCTTGTAAACAAACATCCACGGCGGCGAGGAAAAGAGAGAGTGACCAAGGGTAAAGGGAAGAACCAGATTTGAGAGGAAAGAGCAGGGAGCTTGGTTTGGGGAGTTTTTACAGCCGAGAAGTTTCCAGAGGGATGATTTTCAGTAGCTGCTATAGGGTGGTGGTTACAGAGAGCTGGGGGGGGAGATGGGGAAAAGGATTTCTTTTGTCCTGTGCATGGATTGGATTCCCATTTGACATGGTTTCCTCTACATATGGAGTTAAAGACTTGCATTGTTCTCAATTACATTTTTTAGAGGGGCCAACCCATATGGCGAGCTGGTTTCATGTTACAGTGGAAAACTTTTTTATTCAGGGATGGTCCCAGGACTGTCTGAGTTGCAACAATTTGGAGTCAATTTATGGAACTAATATGTAAGTGAACAAATATTTAGAATGTTCCGCACGGTGCTAAGTTCTATAAAGGAATATGGAAGTGGCTGAACATGTGTTCTACATCCTCTCGTTTGTTACTATCTGGTTAGATAAGGCTTATCAGCAAACTGGCGACGTAAGAGAAGACTTCAGAGAAAATGCAGCTAAGCCAGACAGACATGACTTCGGAGGAAGGGAGGTTTTCCTAAGGAAAAGTCAGACTTGGTAGAGAGACAGGAATGAGGCTTTTAAGGCCGGCAACGCGGCCGGAGCGCCTACGCACGTGGGAAGTGCAGCTGTAACACAAGGTGACTGCTAGGAAGCGGGTCTCGAAGGATTTCAGGAATACCTTACGCTTCTCCTAGCCCTTCCACCTGGGAGTGACCCTGGGCGGTAGACCAGGCCTAGTCCTTAGCATTTCACAGCTGAAGGAAAGGAAGGACATGAAATTCAGAGACTGTGAACCGCGTGAGGTCATGTAGGGGACAAGCCAGAATTTGCACTTGTCACCTGACCCTTGGTGCCACTGTGCCCACGCTGTGGGACAGAGAGGGACTGTTGTAGCAGTCTGGAGAGGGCTTGGATGCCATTAGTGCCCCAGAGATATACAGGGGCCGTTGGTTCGGCGGTTTTAAAGGAGACTGATGTCCCAGTGACATCACACGAGACGTTTGCTTTTCTGTCCCATGCAAGTTCAAGCCGGCAGGCAGCCCAGGAAACCAGGCGTGGACAGCTTTAATCCACACAGTCCCCGTGCGGCCTCTAAGCCCCAGGAGGCTGGTCTACGTGGCAGCATCAGTCTGGGGTCTTGGTTCAAGGAATGGGACGTGCTCACCAGAGACTGGCTGGAACCGGGGAGAGCAGCGCCGGCGTGTCCCTGCCCCTAGAGCCTCTGCAGCTTTGTCACAGCTGGTGCGTTCCCCGCCAGTGACCACAGGTCCTGGTAAGTGGCCTTCCTACACACTCCCTTCGATTCCCGGTTGTCACCCGCTCTCCTCGGCCAAGCAGGGTGGCCAGGCGTGGTGAGGACCCCCTGTCTCATGCTGCCCTATCCTTTATAGCTTTCCTTCACCCTGACCACATCTTTCTCCGCCATCCCCTTATTAAACGGTTCCAGCTTGTACCCTCTGCGTCCTGCCAGGACCCTGACTGGTAGCCAACTAGGGATTTCAGTTTCTTTGGCCTTGCTTCACCAGTCTTATCCTCCTCTACATGGTTATACCTGACTCGCCACATTCTGGCTCACTTGAAGGGGAAAAGGACAAATGGAGAGTGTCTTAGTTTTCTATTGCTGCTATAACCAATCACCATAAACATAGTAGCTTAAGAGGACACATCTTTAGCTTACAGTTTTGTAGGTTAGAAGTCCGACACAGGACTCACTCGGCTAAAATCAAGGTGCTGCATGGCTGTGTTCTTTTCTGGAGGCGGTGGAAAATAATCCCTTTCTTTGCTTTTTCCAGTTTCTGGGATCCACTTAACGTTCTTCTCTATATTAAAAGCCAGGAACATCAGACCAAATCCTTCTCTTGCTGGTACCTCGCTGACTTTCTCCCCCTCTCTCTCTTCTGCCTTCCTCTTTCACTTTTTTTTTTAAAGATTTTATTTATTTATTTGAGAGAGAGAGACACAGCGAGAGAGGGAACACAAGCAGGGGAGTGGGAGAGGGAGAAGCAGGCTTCCCGCGGAGCAGGGAGCCTGATGGGGGTTCGATCCCAGGACCCTGGGATCATTACCCGAGCCAAAGGCAGATGCTTAACAACTGAGCCACCCAGGTGCTCCTTCCTCTTCCACTTTTAAGGACTCTTACATTACATTGGACCCACCTGGATAGTTCGGGCTAATTGCCCCATTTCAAGTTCAGCTGATTCAAACAGTAATTCTATCCACAACCTTAATTTCCCTTTGCCATGTAACATAACATAGTCACAGGCTATGGAGGTTAGGACATGGATATCTCTGAGGGCCATTATTCTTGCCTCCCACGGAGGTTGAACAGCTTCCTTTTAAAGTTGTGTCCTTGAAGTTGCACACAACACTCTCACGAATATCCTCCCGGCCAGAATTCAGTCACATGGTCACACTGAACTGCAAGCGAATTTGAGAAATAGTTTCTCCAACTAGGCAGCCACATGCCTGTTTAGAACACGGAGGAATTCTATTCCCAAAAGACAGAGGGAAGAAAGTAGATATTGGACAGCAATTCTTTTGGTTCCCCTTCATCTTGCCACCTTGGTGCTGTGGGCTAATGGCACTTAACTCCTGGCCCCGAGCTGCCCTTCACCTGAGATTGGTTTCTAACTTAGGAGAAGATAGAATTGTTTCCTTATTGGACCACACTGGCTACCTCACAGTGATGTTTCCTGATCTTCATAATGATTTTCTGATGAGACCAGCTGGTTTGCCGGTGTCTCCATCTGACCTCTGGTAACAGGGCTCCCTCACATTTACTGGCGCGCTGTCCACCATCTTGCTCTTCCTTCCACGGTCACAGTCATAGGTCCCGTCTGCTGACCTGTTACTGAGTATCGCCTGTGTCAGTCGCTATAAGCCTGGCCACCACTCTCGGTCTCAACCTTGGCTCTCTATCTGCTGCCCTTCACTCAACCGCTGCTCTGAGACGCATGGAGTTCAGTCTAGACTTCTCTATGTTGGTCCCTCACACACCTCAAGAGACTTCCCAGTGCCAGGCAGATGGAGTGTTCACTCAACTCAAGTTTAGGAAACTGTTAGAATAATTATAACAGAAGCAAAGAAAATGTATTCATGTTGATGCAAGGCAGAGCTGTGCGTTCTTCTGTGAAAACTGATGGAGCCTTCTCGATGCAGACTACGTGGATCTAAAACCAAGAGAGAGGGAAAATCTCTCTGACACTGTTCACAATTATATCCAAATGCCTCAGAGGCAAAATTGTACTTCCTATACCTGACTTTGGGCTCCGGTGTCTAAGGAAGTAGGTTTTTACTAGATGACACACTAGTTGCACCCCTGAATTGGAATACATACCAATACCCAGCTCTTTTGGAGTCCTCATGCTAACGGATAAGCAGGCCAAAGAAAGTGGGGGGGCGGTATCATTTTGATTGGGGTAATTGATCTCAACTCTTAAAGAGCAATAGAGCTTTTGTTACACAGTGGCTGCAGGGAGGGGTATGACTGCAGTCTAGACAATCCGGTCTTGCCAAGTCCAAGCACAAAATGTAATGTAAGCGCACTCTGCCTCTGTACTTGCAGGACCTTCAAAGACAGAATCCCCAGGAAAGAAGGTTTGGGTCACTCTAGCTGGTAAGGAGATGCTTGCTGAAGGTGGAGGGAAGGTGGAATGACTAGGAAAGCAAGATCATTAATCCCAACGCAGCCTCTTGAAGAGTTAACAGAAATGAAGCCTGCGATCCCAATCTGTGTTCCTCGTGTGATGTTTTGTACGTATTTGTATTTTTTATTATAAAATATAAAAATATATTTAATTTCCTTTTTAGTTCCCTTCTTTACCCCACGACTGTATACTCGATGTGTGTTGGTGGTAAACTTTATCATTTGGATCATAAGTTGCGGGACATCGGAGACTGAATCGTAACAGAAATGGAAAAGGGAGAGAGCACAGCTGGATGCCATCAGCGAGTGATGGGACTCTGGGTTGGTTTCCTTGAAGACAGGGTGGATGTGCTTCCAGAAGGCTGAGTGGATGCAACACTGTGTTTGGTGGAAGGGTTTGTTTTTGTTTTAGAACCAGATGTGGGATGAACGTATCATGATATCAGGAAAAGATGGACTATGATGGAAATTTGTAATTTTTTGACGCTTGCCATCAAAACACTTCCCACCTTGGAAGATTCCAAAGATAGGTGGAGACAAAACTCTGCTCCCACTACCAAAGCTAAAGGGGGCAGATGTCCTGTCTTCTCTCTGGCAGCCAGGGCACATGAAGAGGTCAGGCAGTTGGATATTTCTCCCGGGGATTTTCGAGTCATGGGAGAGGGACACGAGATGCAAGACAGTTGAGAGTTAACTGGGTGGTCCAATAGGATGAGCATTAGCATCCTCACCTGAGTGCTCCTGGGGTGGGATCTTGGATATATTCCCAGATGCATAACTGTCCTGGGTTACATTTTCCCCAGTCATTTCTTCAGCTTTATGTGCTATGAGATTACCTTTAAAGAAATCCTTTCCTGCATAATAAGCTGTTATTGTTTGCATATGTCAGTGTTTGCATCCAAGAACCAGACTGGTAAAACCATAATATTTAATTGGTTTTTTATTATTTAGATGATTTGCATTTTTAACATAAGCAGTGCTGCAATGAATTTGCCACAAAGCTTTTCTCGCCCTGCATTTAAGATTATTTTCTTAATATACAGGTTCAACTGGGTCTCAGGATAGATCTTGCTACACATTTTCAGAAGACTTTGCAATGTATAAAAGATACTGTTTCACCAAATCTTTGCCTTGGTCACATCTTGAACAACGGATACAGCAAGTAATAGAAGTTAGAAATGATTTATCTGAGGGAGAAGATTTTTCACATAGGTGCATTTTTTAAAGACACCCAAAGTACAAAGTTTAGAAAGCATAACCACTTCTTAATGACAATCTTTCCAAAGTGCATCACATCCTGCCTGGCTTCATCAAACTGCGATCCCCGAGGCCCAAAGGAGATGACGGGTTTATCTCGCCCTTGGACATGACTCTCCAGATTACTGCCCTTTCCTTAGGGCTGGGGAATTTTTCTACCCCTGGTGACCTCAACAGCCTCCTGGTCAGAGGACAGAAACTTCTCCCCGTTTAACCCTTTCCACACTCTCTGGCTGTTACTTGTATAGTCTCCTACCACTGCAAGGCTAGAACAGTTGAATGTTGCAATTGCAAACAGATAATCATGCTCGTCGAGTTAAGTTTATCAACTGTGCATGAGTGGAAGTCAATATCCTGGTGGGAAGGCTGGAGTGTCTTCTACCCTCTACACTGGAGTACACAACTTAGATTTTGTGACAGTCTATGTTTCAACTCTGGTTCAGTTTGTGTGTCATTTGTTGGTAGAAGTTTCCAGGTGTCTTAAGTGCCGGATAGAGAGAGCATTGCAATCATGCATTTCAGGAGAGATTTCTGATGGGCTTTCTGGTAGAAAAATTTCATTTCATTCTTCAGGATCTCCGGGGAAACTGGAATTTTCCTAAACAACGTATGTTTTAAGAAATTTCATATTTATGTGTAATCCTAAAGCCCCTTCGTTGAATTTTTAGACTCATTTTTTACGAGTCAGTCCTTAAAGGAGATGGCTCCAGCAGCTTTCCTCTTTCATACATCAGTGTTGGTGTCTATTATTTCTTATTCAAAAATGTGGGGCAGAATTTCCTTAAAATAATCCCTCTGAAGGATGGCTTTCACAAAGAGAAGCAATGGTGCTCGGTTATATATCATACATGCAAAAAAAGTTGATGTGAAATCATAGACCCATTTTGAAGTGAGACAATCTGATCTTTCACACTAAACAATAACAGCGGAATTGCTGGTCTTTCAAAAATGAGTAGCACATTTTACAGCAAAACTGCTTACAGACAATTTAGGAAAAGTACTTCAATATTTACTTTTTGAATATTGTTCCAGTGCCGTTTGGGGCAAACAGAATCGTTTGGTTGAGAGAATGAATATAGAGGGAAGTGGGTGTAAAAACAAGTTACATTTTGAATTGTATGCATTTTATTCAGAATAATTGTTTTATAGATAAAGCAAATCCAAATAAAAATAAAACACAGGACAATCTAGCACATGCCATCCAGACTTATTCCATCATAGTGTTAGAGACATTGATATATTTTAGCTTAATTTCTTTTTTTTTTAACTTAAAATTTTAAGTTTATTCCTCTAAGTATAATTTATTTTTTTA